CCCCCCCCCCGAATGCTATTCATCACGACTGGCCCTTTGCCACCGCTCACACCGGAGGCAAACCAAGAACTGGCACTTGCTGTCTGAAATATTTCGATTCTTCGGCCTTCATACCACCCAAGGAGTATGCTAAAAAATGCCTCAAATGACTCCAGCCACGAAGAGGGTGGAAGTTTCCCGGAGGATCCTCGAATGCCCTTCGAACCAACAGGCCTATCGATTTTACACGACAGAATGACCCTTGGTGTGTGCCTAAACAGCATTTCCGTGTGCCCAACATCAAGCTCCGGAGTCAACCAAAGCATTTGTCTCCCTACCTTCACATCGTTTTCTGGAATACGACTTGGAAAAAAAATCCGGTCTTGTTCGATTTGTTAGCCAGAAGACACGGTTCTTTGATTATCATTTTTTTCCTCTCGTTCTTTCTTATCTTGGGAGAGGATTCTAACACAAAAAAACAAAAGCGAGGATTAAACGAGTTTCCTCGCGGCCGCCGAAAGCACTTTTTTTACCAGAGCGGAAGACAGCGTGGTTCTTTCCCCCACCTGTCTGTCCAACAAAAAGAAATACCACACAGCAATCCGTCTAGTACCGAACGCCTACCATGGAAAATATGACGCGCTGCATGCCCGGAAAAAATAAGGGGGCAGGTCAAAGAGATGAAAAAAAAAAAAAAACAGTCGCTCTCAAGTCTGGGCCGTTTCACGACTGCAAGGCTCTCCTGATGAAACCGCAGAAAGTAACCAAACAGCAGCCAGACGATTTAATATGTCTGTCTATACCCTAGGAAGGCTCCTCCTTGCTGTAAGATTCCTCGCCGGTCTTGCTCTTCCACAGGCGGAACGGTCCTCGCTGCTTTGGAGCGTCGCCGCTTAACACCTGCTGAGCGATCTAGAAACAACAACAAAGAAGGACACGAGAGAATACGACATTGAACAAAGGGGGTAAAAAAAGTGGATGTATACTTTTTGTGAAGACGCACGAAAACAGAGAGGGCCCATAAAAAAGAAAACGGGAGGTTCGGGGACATCGTCTACCCCACAGAAAACGACATCAGAAAGGAATATTTCTGTTGTAACGCTGGTTGCATTGTAGTCTATGGGTTTCGTGTGTCAGGGGCCTACAGATTAATCATTACGTTGTGTTGCACCTTGTGATCATCACTTTGGAACGACACCTGCACACCTTGCTGCACACAGCGGTGGTGAAAATACGTCCCAGGAGAGGGTTACAACGGGCAGGAGCGGTATTGAAAGAGCACAAGAAGCTTCAGGGCAGACCAAGGGCAGACGTGAGAGATTCTCAAGGGTTTATTCCTTACATGTCGGCAACAACGCGCGTTGGAAACGTGATGTCCAAATAGTGCATAAACCCCTGGTCACGCACAAAATTGAGTGGTCCGCGGTGTCAGTCGCCCTCCACGCACCATGACACCGCATGCCTCAAGCACAAAACGCTTGCCGGCACCATCGGCCAGCGGGGCCGGGCACCAATCGGCAACCAAGACCGCGCACCACCGCCATCACTGGCACAAGAACCAACGTTGACAACAACAACGACAACAACACAGCAACCACAACAACAACAACCAACCGTCGAAAACACAATAACAACAACCACCAACACGAGTCCCCCTCGCGACGAAAACACTCGTGCACCACACACACAGGCGACGCCTAACCTTGAGCTTTCTGTCTGGGCCGGATCCGACGCGGCCGGATCTGCTGGCGTCGTCAGACTCGCACCCCGAGGCGAAGGACGTGCTCCTGGCGCCCTCCCCGGCGCCGCTGCCGTCCTTCGCCAGCTTGGAATCGGAGATCCGCCTTCGGGTCTCCATCACCTCCTCCGTGGACATCTGAGAGATGGATTTTTTCGGGCATGACGCAGCAATCATTCCAAGGGTTAACGGTCGGTACGGTACCAGTAGAGGAACATGTCGGTGCTGATGTCAGTTGTGTGACAATTAAACCCACCGGAAGCCTACACAACATACCGTTGCAACCATCCATCAACAAAACTTTATTGCTTCCTGCGCGCTTGGCGTCTCGCGCGAGTCGCTCCCCGTGAGCGCTAAAAGAGGGGAGCGATGTAACAAGTATATAGCTATATTAGCAAGACCATCAAGCTTCCGAAATAGCAGCAGCAGCAACAGCACCAGCAACAGCTTTCTATCCATGTTAGAAGAATCTGGTAATGCCTCAAATATTACTTTAGGATATTGTGCCACGCACCACAGCAACACTACCAGCTTTTATCGCCAGAGGAAGCACCAGCTGTGACCACCACACTCCAAACAAACGAAAAACACCCAATCGAATACCTGAATTACATACGTTTTGACGATTGATCAGTGTCAGAGGTGGCACACACAAAGGTGCCATTTGGGGCATGCTGATGGCGTTAAGGCATGGTCGTGAAAAGCCAACAGAACAAGGAGCACGTACATGTCAACACACTCGGCAAACAAACGACTTCACTGCTATTACCACTGGACACCCACGATCAACCGACCAATCGCAAGCACACACACCATGGCCATCTGCGACAGCATCTACCAGGACATGGCCGCGAATCACCGACGCATACCCAGCAACACCACCACCCCCTCCAACACAAACTTTCACACGCGCGTGTACGCACGAACGCACGCACGCACGCACGTTTTCGTCCGACGTTGGGCTAGAGCCACCCGCTGCAACAGCAGCAGCTGCCGCTGCGGCGTCCTTTGAAGAGGCCGAAGACCGTGACCTGAGCTTGGTCACTCGCGCGCGCAGCTCCAACAGATCTCTGGAAACAGAAAGCATGTACGACGGACGCAGGAACCAACAATGAAAAACACAAGAACTCGAACGGGCTCTCATCTGAACAAGTGACGGATTGTTGTGCTTTTTGCAGGAGAAAAAAACGGGTTCGAGCAAGCAGGGAATGACAAACGCGCTTACGACACCACGCAGGAAGAAAACAACAGCAGCTGGGCCAGGGGCAGTCGCTCACTTGGAGCAACCCGGGAACGACAGTCCGTGTCAAGTTTGAATAAAAAAACACGGCTCGGACACCCCGAAC